CGGGCCCTCAGCGCACACGGCGCGGCGCGGTGGGGCTGGGGAGGAAGGGGAGTGCTGTCCCTGCGGCCTGCTCCGGGGCTGGACGGGGCCTTGCCCGCCCCTCGCGTAAAGCCGGTTTTAGCCGCACACCCCCAATCCCTCCTTTTATATTTTTATTTTGCGTCAAGCGAGGCTTGAAACCCGGAGGCGGGTCCAGCCCTCGCCCCCTTTCCTGATCAATACTGGTTTAAGCTGAGTGTGCCTCTCAGGACATGCAATTAGGAAAAAAACGCAAATTTATTCAAGTGTTAGGACAAAACCAGCCCAGATATGCCCCGTTTTGAACTTTAGCTAACAAAATTGTCAGACTTCGTGAGAACGGGTGCTCATAACACCGCAGAGATGAATAGCATTTCAGCACCTGGGGGAGACCACCTTGTTGTGGGGTTATGGGAACTGACTAAAGGAGCAGGGTATGTCCCTTATGAATGGCCTTGGAGCTTCCAGTTCCCTCTTTATAAGTAAATTGCCCAAAGTTTACGAACAAAAACAGGGCTGCAGTGGGATTTTCTGCAGGAACTGATGGTCTGTGCTGACTCTTGGGGAAGATTTGAAAGCACGAGTGCTAAAAGGTGTCAAGGGCAGTGTTATTTTTGTGAGTATTGACTATCATGAGAAATGAATACCACATGGTATTTCCTTCTTATTCTTACATTAAGTGTGTGGCAGGACTGTTGGGCGTAATCCAGTCAAAAATGTAGCCTGGGCTGCGAGGGGTCTGTCTGCAGAGGTTTGAAACCATGCCTGCACAAAGCATAATTTAATTTTGAAAAGTCAAAAGATATTTAGTAACTGTTACTGGTTTTATGATTGAAGCAGGAAAAAAAGTGTTACTGCATTGAGGTGCAATCCAGGTGAAATTAATTAATTATTTTGTTGTTGCATCGAGGTGCAAACCGCCTGGCCATAGGTGCTTCCTGGCATCTGGAATTGCCCACTGAGAGGAGCGTTCAGCATCCCGTGTGCTTGTCGAGCACCATTTGGTCATGCAAGAAGGGAGAGTAGGTTGGTTTTCAGCATGGTCTGGCCTTCCCCATACTGCTGTGGGCATAAACTGAGGGGCTAAAGTTTCTCCTTGCTGTGTTCCTTATCCGTTAGCCAGCCTGAATGAGAGGGCTCTTTCTGACATGAGTGGGAGAAACTTGGGAAGTACATGGCTCAGCTTCACGTGTGGATCAAGTGATAGTCTTCATACAATCACCCCTTTTGAAGTGCTGCCTCCCCCCTGCTCCCCCCAAAAACTGTAAATGGCATGACCTTTTCAATCAGATACAGACTACCAGATTTGCTAAGAGGTCATTAACTCCCAGTAGATCATTTAGGTTTAATATTACTATTTTCTTTTTTTTTAACTGTGTTAACAAGGAAGCTTCTCCCAGAATTGGGTTTCATCCAAGCTCTTGGCTCTTTAGTGTGTTTTTGTTAAATAATTTTGTCAAACAAATCACCACCTCCAGTCTCAGCAGAATGCAAGAATACCACGACTTATTACACTAAGAAATACATATTAAATTATTGTATACTTACATGCATCATTGTTTTTATTAAGCACTCAGTGTGTGTTCAGTGCAGTATAAACATTAAACAAGATTATTCTTCCCCTGGTGAGTTTACAGTCTGAAAGAGCTTCATAGGAAGGAGTAGTAATATCATTAAAACACCGCCTTTAATTTAATCCCTTTTTGTTTCCCTGTGGTTAATACTCATTTGCTGTTGCTCATGACTGGAGTATCCTGGCATGTCATGCGGCCCTGTTTTATGATGTTACAGCCCCCAACTGACCACTCTACCCCTCTGTGGGAGCTTCTCGCTCAGTGGAAGAAGAGAACACATTGTCTGTTTCAGCTGCTGCAGCACAGGGCCCAGCAGCATAGCTGAAACCCACCTTTGATGGTGCTCTGCACTAAGACCTTGGTTGTTGTATCAAAGCAGTCTCCTTCTGCCACCTCAGCTTCCTGTAAGGACAGCTGGAGATACTAACGACTTCAACAGCTGCAGGAAGATTCTCTGAAGCTCATGTGTTAAAGCCCTGAGAGAAGGGACATTTTAAGATGCAAATGGAAACAGAGGCATCCAGTTCTCGGTGGTGTCTGTTGTATTTAGGTGCCTAATTCACTTTTATATCTTTATAGGAGCATCGTTTTAGAGGAGAATTCTGTAGCCAGTGGGATTTTTTTAAGAGATCGGAGCTTTCCTGGGTACAGCACATCATATGGCTTGGACCATAAAGGGAGCTGATACTCCCCAAGGGAAGCAAGACTCTTGAACTGAAGGAGTTGGAAGGTTTGAAAGCTCCTGTGGTTATCTGATTATTTAAAGAGTCACAACGTAGTTGTCTGTCCTGAAAAAACTTCTGTTCTATTTCTTCTCTGGACTGCATGTGTTATTTGTCAGAGAAATTATTTCAGAGAGAATTTTTTTAAAGTAGCCACTGAAAGCATGCTGCTTTCTGAAAATAGCTTTTTGCTGAGTAAGCTAGAACCACTGCCTGGAAGTTGAAAACTGGAAAAAAAAAAAAAATAGAAAAAGCACATACTGTTCTTTTTTTTTTTTTTTTAAATGAGGTTGACTGTCCATTAGAACAAACTAAAGGAAAACTCTATCTCCTGAAATTTTCAAATCAAAATGGGATCCTGTTTTGGAATTTGTAATCAAGCTTAAGTTACTGAAATTATTATTGAGGTTACTGATAAATTTTTGGAGCTGTACTGTTGAGGAGGTTAGCGTAGATTAATTGGCTCTTCTTGGCCTTAATATCTGTAGTCTGTGTCTGTAGGGGAGTGCAACAGGAGGATTCTGCTGGCATGGACTGGACAAGTATGTTAAGTAAATACAGAATGTGTGGTGATTGCTGGGGGAAGGAGGAAGTGTGGTGGCTCTATTACTGTCTTTATTGCTGTAAATTGATTTGTTGGAGGAGAGGGTGAAGCTAATTCTCCATATCAATCATCCTATGTTCTGAGGCCCAAAATTGATGAGTATCGCTTTCTCTGTAAAGGTGTTTTGTTAATGTAAAAGAGGTGTTCTGCTTGTTGTGGTTTTTGCTTTGTTTTTTAAAATGCTACAGAGACGAGAGACCCATTTATGCCCACTTTAATTTCCAATTTTGTGTTACAAACAGGTTAGGATTTGACTATGGCAGTGCAGTTCCTGTGGAAGGCATCTGTGTGGTTAAAGAAGCACAAGATCACTTTGTTGGCTGTTTCTTGTGTGGGACTGTTTGGCGCTAATCTTTCCTACCACGTGTTTCCTGAGCAGACATTCAAACTGTTGCATGAGTGCTGGTCAGAGGGGCAGCCAGCTGAGCTTTCACAGAGAGTCTGTGGTGTCTTTCAGGATGTCCTTCAAGATACTGATGTGAAGTCCACTGATTCCTATCGAGCTTTTGCAGCTTCTGGCTTCCACCCCGTGAGTGCTGGAATCCCCTGGCTGCCTGCAGGCTCTTTGGTGGGCATCCCGCCTAATTTTGATAGCACAGCTGAGGATGAAAAAGGAATAGTCAACCATGTTGTTGTGATCAATGGCAAGGAAGTAGACTGGGAGAGCAAAGAAGGTGTTGCTTTGAAGGAAGCTCTGACATTTTCACTTAAAGCTCAGAAGTTTGCCATTGCCAGAGAAGTTGCGTATTTGCAGAACGGCAGCCCTTTAGCAAGTGCGGTTGTGGCTCCAGCTTGCTTAGCTGGGACATTTTTCTGTGGAAAAAGTATAAAGCTACTTCTGGGTTTATCTCCTGGCCCTGTGATACTTCGCAGCGTCTGTAACCTCGTAACTGCCGCTGGTGGACTGATGTGCTATTACGTTTCTTACGACGCTGTGACCCATCACCGAGACTGCAAGGCTGACAGAAAGGCAGCTACTGTTTCCAAAGACTATGCCAGAGGTGGAGTTGAATTTTATGATAAAATCTTGTCCTGCAACAGGATTCTTCGTGGTCTGATGGGCAAACAAGGGAAGAAAATGTATGCCCCGAGTGGAAATCTTTTCCCAAGACATTGGTTCAGAATAAAGTATACCCCGTACACTTACCGAAGAGATTTGATTGTTAATATTTTAAGAGAGCTCCAGGCATAGGAAGGGAGTGCTTGAATTTTAAACTTGTGAATTATGTATTCTCTTGCAACACTGCTGTGCTGCTTCCCCCCCTCCCCCCCCCCATTCGCATTTCAGGGTTCCCCCCCCCATTAGAATTTCAGGGTTTATTTTTGCATATAATTTGGAGGGAGTTACTGCACATTCTGTGAATAAAGAATTCTCTCTTAAAATATTAAAGACTCACTTCAAAAGTGCTGTGTTCTGTGTGCATCTCAAATCACAAGACCGCTGAGGAGGCAAACTTCTCAGAAGCTGATCTGGAAGTTCTGCTGCTCTGCTCTGCCTTCCTGTCAGTGCAGTCTAGAAAATGGAAAGGATGAAGTCCAACGGAGAGTTTTGGCAGCATAATCACTTCAACTAGGGTGTTTGCATGTATGTTTGCCATTCCTTCTATGGAACAACCTAAAGATGCTTAAAAAACGGGGTAGTGCTGTTACATAACTACCAAGATATGGTATTTCTGTTCTGTGTAAGTCCTTGTGCCATGTAAATTCTTATGCTGCAATCCCCATTCTTCAGTAGGGCACGCTAGTTACACTGCAGTTCATACTAATACAGCTAGGTTATTACCAGCACCTGCATTGTTATGCTTAAATCTAGTTCTGCTCTCTGTGACATGGTGAGTGTGTGGATCTTGAACGTTTCCCAGCAGTGGCGGTATGTAACGTGGCTGTCGTGGGTCGGTTCTCTCACAAGTGGGATAAGCATGTTCGGTAGAGTATTTTCTGTTTGCTTTGGTTCAGTTTTTGATTCATTTAAAAATACAGGTTACCTTTTGTGTCAAAGAAGGCAAGGTATAAGAAATAAGACTGGCATTTGGTGCAGAAATGGGTGAGGTTTGTGATGAAGGGTTACCAGAGGAAATCATTCTCCAGCTTCAGTGCTAAGAGCAGTTTGATGTAGAAAAGCAAGGTCATTCAGTGGCCCAGAAGAGCCCAAGTAAATCAGTTTGTAAATAGTGTCAGTGAACAGCCTTATAGTCTCCCCCAGTTCAGAAGCTGTAACTCCAAGGTGTTCAGAAAATGTGGTTTAGTAGTAACTGGCTTCTTTTGCACTGTTCAGGTAAGGCAGGCTTTGTAAAAATTTTTGTGTAGAAAAGCAACAGAAAATATTAAGCAAAGGGAATTGCTAAGAGAATCTGATATAAGAAGTCTGAGCCAAGAAACTGTAAAAGTGAAGGTGTGAATGAAATAATGAACTCCTAAAAATCGCTATTTTCTACAAAAATTAAGCGCGCTCTGTCTGGTAAAGTGATTAAAGAATGAAGTATGAGTAGCAAATGTCCAAAATGAGTTGCTAGTTTAAATTTATATAAAATGTAGTTTAAAGAAGATTTTCTTGACTGGTTTATTTAGGTTATTTTCCTGAATTTCCTAGCTAACTGAAAATAAAATTATTCTTACAACTTAATTTTTATATAAATATATTGCTTGCTCCTACACATAAAGCTTCGGTGAATAATGCTGCAAGAGATGAGAGCTACCTAAGTGCTTTGCTCAGAATTCCCACTGGCATGCAAGAAATGCAGGGTCTGGCTCACACATTTTCCTATCCTAAAAATTGCAATTTCTGGTCATGGAGATGACTTCAGCTTGTTTAATGGTCAAAACCATGCAGCTGTCAGAAATAGAGCAAGACTGAGATTTAGACAGTTTTGTTGAACTCAAACAAACTGTAGAAACGATCTGATTTAAAGTAATTTCTGAATCAGCTGCTATGGGTATCTGGCTCCTCTTGCAGTTTACAGGAAGAGGGAGCTTCAGAGGTGGCTTCCAAGAGAGGAATCTCCATCCAGGTGGCACGTGGGTAAAGAATGTCCCTCATCATATTGCCACACACACACTTCAGTTGTAGCAGTCCTTTAGAAAACAGCGCTTTTTACTACAGTAGAGCACTGTTATCATCCCTTTTCACATTAAAGTGGTTTCCAGAACCTGACAGATAAGGTGGTGAGAGAGCTGACTGCAGAGCTGAGGAGCCTGTTGCCTTAGAGAGTAAGCTGGTGGTGTTGGGAGAGGTGGTGCTGGAAACCAAGCCTGCTGCTGTCATTTTGCCCTTGGCCTTAGCAGTTGTGAAAACAACCGCTGTGACAAAGCGTGGCTTGGGTGGGAGTGAATTAAAATGTATGAATCACATCATCATGACTGAATCACAGGCAGCTTTCATTAAAGAAACAAATGTGGAGAATCCATTCTAGAGTGAGTAGTGCTATATGCAGCCATTGTGGGCATCCGTTAAAACAACTGCAGGCGTCTCCACTACGTGGAAATGCAATTCCTAGGGAGCAGCAGACACTGAGACAAGTATGTGGGCCATATCCTGCAACTGTTACCCGCACGTGTTCATTAAAAGCTTCATGTAGCAGGTGTGATTACATTAATATAAAAACCCGCCATCCGTGCATGCCCCAGTCCCTCCTCGATTCATTCATCTCAGCTGGAAGCGTATACAACTGAAAGGCAGAACGCACTGGTAGGAGGAGGAATGCTGATGTAGGAAGACACAGTTAAGATCTCAGAATAAGGAGAACACTGTCAGGAAGACGGAGAATCTGAATTTGTTATATCAAAAATAGACCAGAAAAACAATGTAATTATTCTCTAGGAATTGGTATGTTACACAAATTAAATCTGAAGGAGCAGACAAATGGCTTATGGATATTTGCTGGGCTGCTTTTTCACTGAGAATACATCAGTTTGTTTAGCTGAAGTGAGTATATTCAAGCTGCTCAATCTGCCAAACCTGTAAAGTGGAGAAAATGACTAAAATTTGGCTAGAAATCAATATGTCTTTCCCATCTGGAAAAAAGGGATTTTTTTTTTGGTCACTCTTAAGCTTTGTAGCTAGAAATGAACACTGAAATATCTCTGCAGTTGGGAGCTCTCAGTCTCCTCAGTCAGATCAAGTTTGCTGTGATGTATCCTGGCCTGAAATCTTGAGAGACAGTGCTCTTAAAGACTCCTTTTTTGTCCAGAAATGCTCTTTAGAAGACTTAGCCAGCCCAGGTGTGTGTTTATTTCCCTCACCTTAGCCTTTCTGTACTCCTTACAGCAGGAACCATTTGTGGCCCTACATGCTTGTGCAGCACTTAACTGTAACGTGACTTCTGCCTCACCCTAACAGTGAGCTTCCTATATACTGCGCTGAAGAAGCGTGAGAGGTTTTGAAAAAAGAATTGGCCCCCAAATCATGCTTCCTAGAGGACTTTTCTGTAATGGCTGAACTTCCACTGTCTCGAAGTTGGCCCTTTTCCAGTGCCGATCTGGTTACTCAGCGTCACTAGCTACCTTGGTGCGCTGGAGTACGACTCTTCGTGTAGCCAAGGTGTTAACAGCTCCTTTCAATCCGCGTGAGTAACAGGCGAAGCTGGGTCCTCCTTCATGTGTGGCCAAGCTACTTCTGCTGTAGATGTCTTGCAAAACATCCTATCTCATTAGGATGACTAATAGTATTTAGAAAACATAAGACACTGAGCACTGTCCCAGGTTCCCAGTTCCAGGAGTTCTTGCAGGGGGAATATTAAGAAAGGATATGCGGTATTGTGCAACTTTTCTCGAGTAACTCGTGATTTAGTGCAGACCTCCTGGCTTCTGGTAGCTTTGTTTCTATCATTTGCTGAAATAATTTTCCAGTGGGAATGTTATTGCTTCATTCTCTTGTTCCTTTCCATTTCCCCTTGCTCTGCTACTCTAATTGCCTCTGCTGAGTCATCTTGTGAGCTGCTTCAGCTCAGTCAAACAGCCTTTGTGAACTTCTTAAGCTCTCACTTGCTACTTGCACTTTCATCTGCACTACCTACTTGCTGCTCTAGTACTTACTAGCCAAAGACCACAGCAGCTTGAACTTTTTGTTAGGTTTAGTCTACACGTTTTTGCAATGAAAAATGCCTTCGCCTAAATGAAAAATAGGCATTGTGGTTAAAAACCACCCTTTTTTGCCAAAAAAAAAAAGACTTTAATATTGCTTTTGAATTTTCCATTTAGCATTACTTTTTGAAAGACTTAGTTCTTACTTGCCATTTCTAGCACCTGGTTCACTTTTCATCTTAGTATCAGTTGCCTCAGACAGTGCTAAGATGTTGCTATTCTCTTTGAGCCCTCTAGAGATTTTGTTCCTGCTCCTGAAAATTGCAGGGAATTTTTTACTTTTATGGTTGGGTGACGTATTGTGACCTGAGAAATAATGACTAATGTGGTACCATTAGCTGCTTGTACTGATGCTGACCTAGCTCAGGCACGTCCGTGTCACACTTGAGTGCTGCTGTGCAGGCTGACTTTGAGAACTGCTCATATTGCCGGTTCCACTGGGGAGTTTATAGATGGATTTTAATCACCTGCCACTGAGCAGAAGCAGAGGGATCTATTGATTTTTGTTGGATGAAAAACAACACTTACTCACTTTTGACCAAAAAAAAAAGAAATATTTTGAATGACTCTAGCAAGGGTGAGGGGTTTGGCATGCAGAAGAAAAGCCTAGGGGAAACCCAGGAAAATAATTCTGTGTGCCTTAGTCTTCCCCTAAATCTTGAAGTTGTGTTGTTTCCAAGCTCTAGACTGCACAAGAATTGCAACAGACATTTGTAACCAATTGCATCTGATTTCTAGGTTTATCCCCTTAATAGGGATAAGCTTTGTGGTCCTGACATGATGCAGGAATACTTAGCTGCTCCTGAGTAGCATCTTTGTGACCATGCAAAACTCCATCTGCTTAGTACATCTTCAAGTAGCCACCTTCTGCATCTCTTCCCAGTTCTTTGTGTGGAGCCACATTCTGGGTACTCCAGGTAACACACACGCGCCCCAGACAAAAGCTGCTTCAGTTCCCTTACCAATACCAATTTCTCTTCCATGCTCCTTCAGACTGGAGGCAGTGGCTGGCG